TTATTGTAGCTGCAGCATGAAATTCGGAGATCGGTCATCCGATGCTTAGGAATTTTGAGTTTTTGTCCTGTCAAGCTAAAGTCTTAACGGCCTTATTCTCTACGGATTATCAATGGAGATCATACATTGACCTCGGCCATTGCAAGCATGTGCGGTATGGATCATGACAATTTATGATGTACGGGCTGCGGATTTTTTCTGTAAATGTGTCGCAGATTAAGACGTTGGGATAAAGCGAGTCCTCTTAAACTGTAATACCTCAATGAACATGTAGCTGTGGTGATACGTGTTTTAATTGTTAATGTAAACGCAGCATTTCGAACTGCACAGGATATTCATCGTTTGCCAGAAAAAAAGATTTTGCTACGACTAATTGGTATTCAGTGATAAAATGTAGGCTACAACATACCGAAAATGCATTGTTATGGTATATATAGTAAATATATCTGAAAGCCAACTTAATATCATATCATATTTTTGGGAACTAAGAACTGTATAAAGAAAATTAACGTTCTATGAATGAGGAAACCTTAGTTCCGCAATCCTTAGGCGCACTATGCCTTAGATTATGCGTCAGATTTTTCTTCCAGTGTATATATTCTAAATTATAGCAAAAATATATCTTCAATCCGCTTTCAGATATAACATCTTTTCCGCGCCACCTTTAGTTAAAGATTTTCAAATTATTTCAGTGTTAATGTACAGCAACTGCAAACCTTCCGAGAATACCTCTTTAAGCGTTCGATGAAGTCGGGGGCAGAATCCTTGATGTGTCTTAACACGCGCCTTGATAAACCATCTGGGACACTTTTCCGGTTAACCGGAAACATAGGAAAAATGTTTGAAACGCAAAAAAAGGTGTTTTACGGTAAGCATATGAATAAAAACAAAAGAGATTATACAATATAAAGAATAGAACACCTTGGAACAAATAAAAATTGCCTAGCTGGAATTTGCGATGTTCTATCACACCCGTTGGAACACTGGTGGGGAAAGCAGCTATGAAAGCAACTGTTAGAGGGGATATTGCTATTCTGACGCTGAATGAGCGAAGAAAAGACGCCTTGCGATGATCGGTGGTCTGCGATTGAGGGGGACGGGGCACCAGCACATTTACTGGCGCATGGTCATATCGTTTGCATCCTGGATCCACGCCAAAAAGTGTTCATGTAATTGACACAGCCCACTGCAATTCGTGGTACCTGAATAGGCGGAATCAGCTCATAATCTAGGAAGCGTATAGGGCCAGTCCCGTGCGGCTTTCTTCGTGATGTCTGTGCTTTTGAAGAACTATTTTATGTTTAGTATTGTATTTTTTTGCTTCAAAATGGCAAAAGCCTTTGCCATCACAGCGACAGCCGGCTTCAACATGAGACCTGTACAGTGTCGATCACCACGTCACCAAATCTTAGTTAATAGACGTCAGGAAAATATTGAAGTCACAAGCAAAAGCCGTGAATTCATAATTGTTTCTTTTGCCAGCGCCGTAAAGCATAACGAGTCTGTTATATGTCAGACACCCAGTGGATAATCAGTAACTACTTGGCTGTTTAAATAGATAGTCGAAGATTTATTGAGTCTATATGTGAGATGCATATCTAGAAAACGACCTGCCTTATATTGTGCAACTTAAATTAATTTCTCCCTACATCATAATGCCATTATTTTGCTATAAACATATTGATGAACTTATCTTGCGTACGAAGCTGCATTTTCTTGTTGCCATTCCTGACTTGATCTTTTTGCGCTTTCATTTTTATCAGTGCGCCTAAATTTTGCCATGAGACATTTAGGTACAGAATATGGCCGGAGTGCGTGCAATTATTGAGAAAAAGCTACAAATATTAGTTGTGTGAGTGAAAGTAATTTTTTTCAAGTCACTGTCCGTGGCGCAAGGCAGATAAACATAAGAAACTACTCTTTAAACCAATGAATTCGCCCGTATTTCGTGGAATATGGCAACAAAGTAACCTATATAGAAGAAAGAGGTGTAATCACTGGGAGAGGACATTTATTCGCCTGATTTTTCGAAATTCGTCGCGGATCCTTCATCAAAGACAATAGCAGAACGATGATATATGCACAGGAAGTTGCCTTACTTATAGGACAAAGTCACTATGATACTGCATCCTTAGGGCAATTGACGACTCTCCTATCAAGGATAATTGCCCGCTTGTGCTCTATTGGCTTAATAACCGTGATGAACGGCGTGCGGGCCGTGACCTGCTGAAAATTCATCACACGTGGTGAGATTGAACATGATGATTGCTTGGCCATCTAGTTCCCCGTCGTTGGCACTAGACGACGCGTTGGCCTGTGCGCTCCTTGAGTAGCGGTCTGCTGTGGCAAACTTGAGACGCAGCACCGCATATGGATTGGGCAGGTCGTTGCACTTGTTTACGTACTGCAGTCCTGTGAAACCTCACTCAAGTAATTCGCGGCTGACATGATCTTCACCTCTCGCGAGAATTTCAGCCTCTTCAAATTTGGAGGTGGGACCGGGGCTCGTCGAATAAGCCGTAAATTGAGAATTGGCATCATTTCGCCGTAATTCTGCCACGTGTTTGACAATTTATGTCTTGAGAAGTCTTGCAGTTTATCCGACGTAATTGCCTTATCCGTAACTGCACCAGATACTATAGACGATGACAGATGTTTCTTGCCACGGCAGTTAGTATTTTGCTCTAATTAGCTAATGTCTTATGGTTGCCTCCGATCTATGTGCGACTCCAACTCAAGATGGTGTGAGAAGTCGACTGACGGTCTTCGAGACGTTTTTGGCGTACTGGATCGCTTGCCAAAATATAGGGTCGGTGCGATTTTGTTGGCCATCTCGTTTGCGCAAGCACCGGTTGACAAAATTGCGCGGATAGCCATTTGCTCTGAACACCCGTGGAAGATATTCGTTGTCCGGTTCACTACACTGCATCTCAACACGCCGACAAAGCTTCCTTGCCAAACTGCGGTTTTGGTTGATTGGGTGGTTGCTTTTGAAGTTCAGTAATTGCATTGTATTGTTCGCAAGCATGCATGGCCAAAGAAGATGGGCAATAAAATCGCACCGAGTTAACCCCCTAGAACATTGCGTTCTTTTGGTTAATAATTCCGCTTTAAGTAGACTTATGTGACTATTTAGGTAGGCTTTTTGTTAGGCGTTTATACTATGGGTAAGGCCAGTATATGTATTTTATGACCTACCTTTGCTGACATATTTATGGGCCATTTGGAAGATAAAGTATACTCCAAATTGAACAATATTACACTCTACAGACGATATGTAGATGATATCTTTGCGATTGTGGACAACCCAAGGCAAGCCGAAGGATGATTGTCTGCAATGAACAGTCTGCATCCTAAGGTTAAATTTACCATGGAACAGGAACAAGAGAACCATCTTTCCTTCATCGACGTTCACTTATCCAGACAGAAAGATGGTTCCATTACACGGACGGTATTCCATAAAAATACCTGGAAAGTACAGTATTTGCATTATCTGAGATTTTTCCATTCAATGGAAACGTAACTTGGTATATACTCTTTTACAGAGGACTAGAAGGATCTGTTTTATGGATACATTGAATGTTAAATTAGCCAGCCTTAAAGGCACCTTATTGAAGCAAGGATATCCAAGTCAGTTTATAGACAGATATAGTAAACCTCTAAGACCTAAATCGACTCAGCAGTTAGCACCAAAAATGCCCGTTTTCATTTCCTTACCCTTTAAGGGCGATAAAATACTGAATACCATCAAAAGACGCCTTCTCAATGCCATTGAAAGGACGTACTATGCTGCCAATCTTATAATTTGCAATCATGCGAAGGATACCTTGCCGTTGCACGCCGCTTCAAACTGTGTTTATGAATTTACATGCACTGGCGGATGCAAGTACATAGGGCGAACGCAACGGCAACTGGCCACCAGAGCTAAGAAAAATTTGTCTAGCTGGTTAATGAAACAAGAGAATAGAATTCCTCGGCCATCGATTACTAAACATCTGCTAGACATGGGCCATTCTGTTGACCCCAAACCTTCTTTCCGAGTAATTGTTCGGGCACGAACAATTCGCACCTTATGCTACCTGGAGACAGCCTACATACAGCGGTTCAAACCCGACCTGTGTGAACAGCTGGAGCATGTAGTGAACCTAACCCTGCCTTTGTAACATTGGCTCCCTGTTTACACAATTCCCCTCCCAAAATTTTTATCTCAGATGTCATTCCCCGTTTTTTTGCTGACCATAGCGTTTTGACTTCTTATGTTGTTGATTAACCTCTTGGCCATTTCTTATGACCTTGTGTTTTTAGCGACTTTTCTGTATGAATTCAATTAGTATTTTCGCTTATGTGATTCACGTTAAGCAATGAGAGGCAGCAACTGAACAGCTCTCTCGAAATGCCATCGATCCAATAAATCTTGCTGTTATTGCTATCCTTAAATTTGCACCTGGGAACTTTGCTTTAAATTTTATGAGTTTGCTGGATCGTGCGAAGGAAATGAGATGTAATGACGGGATTATTGACTTGAAAACGTGGGTCATTTGGTCTTTATTAAAACTTGGCCAATTTTTATCCAGACTTTTTACTTATGTCTTAGCTTTGAGACATCTTCAATGGCTTTGGCAAAAACAGATACAGCGACACAACTAGAAATTAGCGATTACTATCAGAAGTGCGGCAAGCTCCAAGATGAACTTTCGTCCATGCGGAAGATGGATAATGAGCTAAAGGATGAGCTTAGAAAACTTGCTAAGACAGCACCGGTCCTTCCGCCACAGCCTGATACAAAGCAAACGTATATTCAAGGACGCGTAAGTCTATTGGCTCTAAATATTTACCAACATCTAAAGAAAACTTTCACTATAAACGCCAGGGTTTAACCAGTACGCATTTTACCGTAGTGAACTATTGAAATAATATTTTTAGTGGATTCGTACTTGTGCCTTCCGGTGGTCTGACCGAACAAGCAAAGCAAGAGTGATGCTGAAACCTGAACCATTTTTCTGGAATTCCTTCTCACCCGAGGTAATCTTTTATTGTATTATTCTGCAGAAATAGAATTTTAATGCAGCCGTTTTGTGTGTATGTATAAAAGGAATTAGTGCCTATGAGTGGAAGTTTATGTGAATGCATACTAAATTTCAGTCGATCGTAAAATAATTTTATATTTTAGTTTGATGAAGAATACTGTAACTCACTGGACAATTCAATAAAAACCTCCGAAAACGAAAAGGAGATTTTGGGAGCCTTTTTCGACAAATTACGCTTTGAACTGTACGATATTAGCCAGGTAAGCCTACTGGAAGTATTCAATTTTCTGGTTAGGCTTTAACGAGCTTTTTATTTAATACATTGTAACACCGCTCTAAAACCTTTCGATCGTTTTGTATAAGTGCGTCGGATAAAACGAAAATCATGTCCTCTTTTAATTATTGCAAAGATCTACGCAAGAAGATAGTGTTATAGTCCAGCATGCTCCACTGATAAACTGTCAACCGAAGCCCAGCAATTCGGCAATTAATCCGTTTCCAATGAAAAATTAGAACAAGGTTTACACAATATTTGACAGTTAAACATGACCCACCACCTTTTGTGAAATATTTCTAAACCACTGTTAGTTGCTGTAGTTGACTAGCATTTCGGAATTCTAACTGTTTTTATTTCAAGCTACCAACAGTTCGATCTTGCCCAACAAACGTAACCAGCTCCTTACAAAGCATACTCGAACTTCCCTTTTCTGAAAACCAAGTGCTTACCAGTAGTTTATCACTGAATGAGGAAGAACCGTGGGCCAAAGAAGGATATATAAACTGGCTGATCCCGTAAGTTTCAGGACGGTAGAACGCTGTTTTCGTGTTTTTCGCTTCTTGTCTAAAATTGCCTAATTACTTTGTTGATGGAGATTATTGAAAGCTAAAGGCGAGCAGAATCAAACCTCAACCGAGTAAAGTATTATAATTTACAAATTATGCGTGATAGTTGATCGAAAAATAAGTCAACGATCACCGTTGCTGATCATTTGCTTCTATAATTTCTTGTGCAAACAAAATTCCCATTCGGGAAATTATCTTCACTGACACAGAAAGGTTCATGCACCACATAGATTTTGGCCCTGAAACTGTTAGAAAATTACTTTCATCACATAGTTCCCAAGAGCTGTCTTGACATTACGGTGGGTGAAAAAGTCCTATATTTGATCGCTGTTCAGTAACTTTAGTTTAAACAGTTGGCTTCGTCTGTTATTATATAATGTTTGAAACTTAACGAAAAAGGCTAAAAAGTACTTTTGAGTTTAAGTCTTTTTCAAAGTCACCAAGCATTAGTGTTTACAGTGCGAGGAGTACCTCCCACTCGGAAACTTTTTCCGGTTGCAAGTAGTTATAGTTATTAATAATAAAGGGAAGGACGAACTGATTACGAACGTATCTTTGTAGACTGCTGGTTTCAAAACGGACTTATCGCAGACTGTATTAATGCGGCCATTTTCAGAACTAATTTATGTGTCAACTTACGTTCTTTTTTCTTTTATCCAATTTTAAAAGAAAAGAGATGTTGCCACAAATGTGTCACAAGGATCGGCGACTTTTCCTTGCAATCGTAAGCTTGTTTCAAATTTACTCCCTGCCCTCTATATGTGAAATAAATGATATTGTTTTGAAAATTCAAGTGCAAAAAAAAAATAGACCACAAGCTTGACTTGGTTTATTAATGACGCTAAACTTCTCAGAGTCTTATTATGACGGTCTGTTTAAGTAAATTATTAATAGAAATTTGACCACGAGTTGTCTTTCCCTCAGTTTAAGGATGTATTGGAAGACCTACTCACCGCCCCAAGAGAAGCAAAGCCTCCGGAAAGAACACAGCGTGAAGCCGGCTATGGAAACGTGGCCGATAATCTTTTGAGGGAAGAGAAGGAAGGAGAATCGCATCTTGAGCATCCCCTTAGTGGTACTGTCTCCCCTTCAGAGTGGCCTGTTCGAACTCGCCAATTAAGAAGAATAGAGAAACTGGCTCAAGCCTTCCATGAACGTATTTCCTACCTGCCCTGGTTTATTCAGAGTCGCATGGCACGAGCCTTCCGTGGAATGCTGACCAATCAGGCCTCGAAAATGAACCCCAATGACTATCTCCGCTTTTTGATAGATCGAGTGAGTCGACCTTTTTTGCGAAATTTAGCATTCTCCACTTTTGTGTTTTGGTCGAAATTGCCAGTCCCAGAAGTTTCATTTTTAGTTAATTCATCTTCTAGTATTTGAGGTGATCAGTGTTTTCATGTTGTTCTTTTCTTGTTAGGCATGAGTATTCTTCATAGACATAACCTCCTACTCACCGTTTCTTTGTATTAACTTTGGAAACCGTACCTCACTGAGCTTCTTGTGGGGAAGTTGGACGGCAATCTGACCGGTGAAATATGCCTTATTGTCCTGTGATAGCAAAAACTTTGCTGCAATGTGTGCCGTTCAGACTTAACAGTTAAAAAAACGATTTGAACTATACAAATTCATTTTTTCAACCAAATACTTAGTCTTTGTCCTCCAGGACGTTATAACTGGGACGGAGCGCAGAAGAATAGGGAGTCGTTGTTTTGAACATGAACGATTTTTGGGGAAATGAGAAACTTGATTTCTGTGAACGGAGCCGTAAAATCCAAAGGTTAAGAGGAGGTGCTATGACATTGAAATAAATTACTCCTCGCAATCGGCACAGCGGTAAGGATTGAAGACGTTTCCAAGTCGTCTGTGCTTCAGCTTCATTTTCCTTAAATCTTCTCAAATACCACACGAGGGTATAAAACTTCCTGAGGTATTACACAATCTAAAACTTTAGTTCATTTAAATTATAAAATTGTGGAGGAGAAGGCAATTGAGTTTCGGCAATGTTTTTGAAGCACCTTAACCACTTTTGAAATTAATGTAAGGGAAATTACGGAGAACTGCGTAATGTTTAACCCGTCAGAAGGCGCCAACAGCTATCAGAAATTAAATTGTTTTTATCTGACTGCATTTGATGAACGAATGCTTGCCTTCCTAGGCCATTATGACTCCATAGCTGCGAATATGCACAGGTTTACAGAACTCCTTGCCTAAGTTGAGTTTAAATACTGTGATCGGGAGAAACGCGGCTAACTGGGTGCTTTATTGGTTATTTTTAAGCAAACCAATTATCTGGTTCAAGTCTACCATCTCTTCGAGTCTCGCGAAAAGCGGCAAAGGCGAAGGGCGACACGAAAATTGGTCGAACTGAAAACTAAATTTCAACGCCTCTGCTGTCAGCATAAAAAGTAAGTATGGTGCAACTACCGCCCCCCACCCCGCTCCTCATCGCACGCTAAGTGCCTCCTTTTGCACTGGCACAAGATTATTTTACCAATAGAGGTATACTTGCTACTTAACAAATGAGTAGTAATAAATAGTGAACAGGCTGTGTTCTGCATCTGCTGTAGGACCTTTGCTGTGCTTTCCCTAGCACTGTTAGTATATACAAATTCGGAAAAACTGGGAAAGATCGAAACGTTGCCTACTCCAATACAGCGACTTATTATCACACACAGATCATTAAGATACCAATGAGCAAGACGCCGGCAGCTTTCTAGGCAGGAGTTTCCTTGGTAGTGGCGGAACAAAACTCCACATTTCCAGGTT